TTGCTGTTGCTAAGTTATTACCTGGGACCTTTCCTGGACTAAAATAATTTTTAAAAAGGGAAAGCACTGAGATGGCTGCAGTGATCACCTAACACAGAAGATGAAACATCAATCAAAAGATGAAAAGAACGATTTGAACTGAAGTTTACATGTTATCAAAATGAGTGAAGTGAATCACTCAGATCTGAGACTTTTGATTTGAGTTACACTGTTCTGGAAGTTTGACATTGTGGGATGAAAGACTTGCCAGGCACAGAATTACACAGACAAATAGTATTTCAAATTAACAGCTTTTGGGCAGAGCAGAGAGGAAGATGATGGATTTGTAACAGCAGAACTGTAAGATGCCACCTTTCTCTGTTTCCTCTCAGTCTCACAGAAAACTACACTGATGAAAAGCAAATTGGAATAACATCATTCATCAAGATATCTACAAATTTTGCTGCTCTGGAGGATAAAAATCATCGATTAAAAAACTGTGGTCTCAGATGAATCTAGTATTTAAGGACTCTAAGGAAGTTTTAAATGGCATATTTTTGATCTTTTTATACTGGATGCCCTCCCCTTTTTAAAATGCATATTGTGTTTGATGTCACGTTTTATTATTTTTCTCTGGGTTAGTAAGCAATAACCTTTCTCTTTCTTTGACTCAAGAATTGGCTCCTTCATTTTTTTGAACCAAACATCTACAATTTAATTGAAGCATGATATCACTTCAGGCTAAAAAGAATTACAAGTTTTTGTTGGAGCCAGCAGGAAGGGTTGTAAAGAGAACAAAAGCAAAGTACTTTTGACTTGATAGAGGTGTACAAAATGATCAGAGGTATAGACAGAGTAGATAGCCAGAGACTTTTTCCTAGGGTGGAGGTAGCTATTACGCGGGGGCATAGTTTTAAAGTGAGTGGAGGTAGATATAGGGGAGATATCAGAGGTAGGTTGTTTACTCAGAGAGTGGTAGGGGCGTGGAATGCATTGCCGGAGACAGTAGTGGAGTCAGCCTCATTAGGGGCATTTAAGCGGCTATTAGATAGGCATATGGATGATAGTATAAGGTAGGGGTTGAGGTTAGATAGACCTTAGGTTTAGGGTAAAAGTTCGGCACATGAACTGAGATGAATTGCTCTATGTTCTACTGTAGATTCAGGAGATCTAAAACATAAAGGAAGTGCAGGAGAAACTTGGTAGGTCTAGCAGCATCTGTGGAGAGAGAGAAACAAAGTTAACCTTTCAAGTCTAATACGGCTCTTTTACAAAATAGTATCTAATTATAGCCAAAGAACCACTTGCAACAGTTTATTTTCCTACTCTGTAACTCTAAGAGTCTATTCTTGTCCCTCTCCTATTAATCATCTTTCTAAAATTTATTCTTAATAGAATGTGGGTGAATCTGGCAAGGCCGGAATTTTCTGCCAATCCCTAACTGCCTTAGAATTGAGCTGGCCTTGGGGAAGTGATGGCATTGTAGTCCAGCGTCCAGATTTGAACCCATCTCTCCAAAGCATTAGCCTTGGCTGTTGGATTACTCATCCATTGACATGATTAGTATACCTACATTTCCATTTTTCTTCTTGATGACAAAAGCACTAAGCTAGTTCTCACATACACTGACATCTTTCCACCACCTCTCCTGACTCTCCCACTTTATCTGAACTATCGGGCTACTGATTTGAGCAGTAATTTCCTATAGTTAAATATTGGAAAAAACTGAGGCCTTGTTTTAAAAACTCCAAATTCCGTTCCCAGCTACTGACTCCATCCTTCTACCTGGCAACAGTGTGAAATTAAGCCAGTCTGTTCACAAAGTTGGTGTCACATTTGACCTGAAGATGAGATTCCAATCTCAATCACACCAAGATTAAAGCCTCCTATTTCCACCTCCATAACATCACCCGACTTCACCTTGTCTCAACTCGTCTGTCTGTGATATGAGATTTGAACACAGACAGCCCAAAGATCATGAAGCAGGGATACTTTATTCCACTAGCATCATTAAAAACATGAAGGGAAATTAAGTGTACCAAGAAAGTATTTATGTGGAATGAAGCCTCTGGTTTGTATAGCATTGAGGATTTTTTGTCTGTTTCTTTATTCCCTGAGCCTTCCTTCACGTAAAAGGCACCCTTTTTCCCAGAATCAGTCCGTTCAACTGTTCTAGCTGTTCTCCCTCACCATTGCCATTTGCTGCTGGAGGTCATGGCACAACAGCTTGAGCTCCTCTGTCAAGCGTTCCCCCTCACCATCACCACTTTGTTGCTAGAGGTTCTGTTACACACTTTCCTGTTTGAAACTAACCATCCCAGCAACTACAAATAGCACAGAATAACTGTTTATTAAGCAGATATAACAAAGTTTGGAGCTGG